CATCCGCCCATTGAACAACATCATTAAATATTGGAAATTTAGTGTTCGTTGCAAAATTAACACTATAATTCACGCCATCTTCTGATTTCGATTCTTATAAAAAAACCACACATACACACACACACACTCACATACACACACAAAACATTAAAACCAATAAAAAATTTACAATGACAACAACAACAGTAATAATACAAAAATAAAATCATGAAAAAATGACAAACGTGTGAAATGCCTGGAAATTTTGGAACTCCAAGGGAAAAACGCATAAATTTTCTAAATCCCCTTGGAAGATCCGAAAAAACCAGGCGTCACTTGGAATTTTCGGAGCTTCCAAGAGGATACAGAAAATCTAGGCATTTCCTCCTTGGATTTCAAAATTTCCAAGTATTTCTAAAAAATAATAAAAAAAAAATTACACCGTTATGTTCGTTCAATATGCTCCGACGAATTTTCATGTGGTGTTGCAAATTCGTTGTCATTCATTGTGGTGTTTGTGGTGGGGTCAGGACAGTACGATCTTAATCTTGACTGAACCCATCGGGTCACACCCAAGCAAACAGACGACCCCTCACGAAGAATTAATCCGAAAGGAATTAATAAGTCACTCGAGTATTATGAGCGCTGACGTCGGATATCGAGCTAGGAGCGTCGAGACCGAGCGTCACAAGTCGAGTCGGATTAATAAGACGACGAGAAAATAAATCAAGCAATCAACAAGTCCAACCGATCGAGCATGCCTAACAAGTATCACAACGTTAGGCGGGATGGCCAAGGATGCTAGGCAAGCCACGACACTAGCTGCACCATTTCAAGGCCAGCAACACACATGTGCGTGCTGAGCCTTGCGTATGGCAGTGCAGGCTTGCTAGCAATGCTAGCAGCACCTGCCGCAACAGCCCGCATTGCGTGTGTGGCTTGATGCGCGCATGTGCGGGCTGGTGCATGGACAACACACCTTTGTTGGCGCGCTAAGAAAGCGGTGCCCAACAGTAGCCCGCTAGCAAGCGTGGCATGCTTGCGCCCAACCAAGGGGCCAGGTGCCAGCAAGGCAGCCTAGGCTCCCAAGGCTAAGCGCGCTAGTTCGCGCGAGCTGATTGGGGCCGAGAGATGTAATCCCCCATATTTTCAACCTAATTAAAGTATATTTATTTATTATTTTTATAAATATTTTAATTTATATTTTATATTATGAATTATTTGAATGTAAAAGAAATAAGATGTTATTACTAGTAAGCTAAATTATTAAGTTTTAGTCTAAATTATAATCCCCTTTTAAGTTTATATTAGTCCAATATTTATATCTTACTCAAGCCAAAACTAATCCTACCTACTTGGATTAGGAAAGTGAAGCCCATAAATATATAAAACCTCAAAAACCCTTATTTCCCCCTCACTTCTCTTCCTCCTCTTCACGTATTCACAAGAAAAAAAAAGAAAAAAAAAGAGACAAAGCTTCGAACTCCAAGCTGCTGCCCAGCCGAAGCCCAACGCCTAACCACCTACTCGTCGCCCCATCGCCGACCACCGCTTCCCAACCAGCCACCCTGCAGTAGTTCGCCCCCCTTCTTCCTCTCTTCCTTTTTTTTTAAAATTTTTTTATTAAATTGATTTAAAGTTCTAATATTTGCTTAATTTTGATTCTAAGTTTTATTAATGGTTTGATATTATACATGGGTTATAAAAAAATTATGAATTTATGAGTTTTGACATGTTTAATATAGAAAATTTCAGATTAGTATAATTGAGAAAATAAGGGTTAAAGTATTGATTTTTCATTTTTTAGGGCTTGAAAACGTGTTAACCAAGTTATCTAATCATATTATGTTTAAATTACATTAAAGTATAATTATTTTTATTATGAATAAAATTTCAAATTATTAAAGTTTCAATTTTTATGAACAAGTTGTGTTAATTTCATATTTTTATGCTTCTAATCCTATAAAATAATTATGGGAAATTCCCATTGGTACACCCGTGGTTTTGACTTTTCCCATTGATACACTCCTAAATTTTTGCCTTCCCATCGGTACACCTATGGTTTGGCCTTTTCCCAACCGTGACTAACACTGTTAAAAACTATTTCACTAAATTAAAATAATTAAGAAAAAGACTATAATACCCCTTTTAAACATATAATGTCTCGATTTGCATGTCAAAAATTGTTCGGTCAAAGTTTTGGGAGTCAAGTTAGTCCATAAGGATCCAAATTAACCTCGAAATTAGCAAAATAATAATGCAAATGTCTCATGTGCGTGTAAAAAAATGTCTCAATTTACGTGCCGTATTTTTTTGTGATAATAATTGTTCGGTTTAGGTTATAGGGGCAATTTTGACCCTTTATGGATCTAAATCGAACTCGAAATTGTCAAAAAAATTAACAAAAATATCTCATTTTGCACGTTATGATATTTCTTTTTTTGTCATGACACGCAAAACGAGACATTTTGTTAAGTTTTTGACAATTTCGAGTTCGATTTAGTCCCTTAAAGAATCAAAATAACCCCTAAAGCCTTAACCGAACAATTACTATCACAAAAAAAAGTAATGGCACGCAAATCGAGATATTTTTTGACACGCATATGAAACATTTGCGTTATTTTTTTTTTGCTAATTTTGGGGTTTGGATCCTTAAGGACTAACATGACTTTCAAAACTTCAACCGAACAATTTTCGACACGCAAATCGAAACATTAAATATTTAAAGGGGGTATTATAATCTTTTCCTTAATTATTTAAACTTAGTGAAATAGTTTTTAACGGTGTTAGTCACGGTTGGGAAAAAGACCAAACCACAGGTGTACCGTTGGGAAGACAAAAATTTACGAGTGTATTAATGGGAAAAGTCAAAACCACGGGTGTACCAATGAGAATTTCCCAATAATTATTGTGGGTATTTTATGATTAAAAAGCTTTGAACTTTAAATTATAACCTCAAGAATAAATTTTCAGATTTTATACTTTTTATTTTGAAGCCTCTAATTGCATTGAATTGGTATATTTTTGGGTTTTTTAACACACTAACTTACTGTATAATGATTATTTCAAGTAATTATGTTTAAGGGGTTATTTTATATATTTAAACCAAATTTTTAGATTATTCACTTACTTTAAAGTTGCTGTAATTTTGTATTAAACGCTATATTTTCATGATTTTAGCATATAAACTTATAGTTGGAATGTTATATTATTAATTTTGACTGATGGAACAATTTAAAAGCTTATTTTGATGGTTTAAGAGGTTTTAAAGTAGTTTAGTATTGCTGTAAATTTATTTGCTTGGGTGTTGATTTAATTCTTGTTGTTTGGTTCAGGAGAGGACTTTGTAGAAGGTGACTTCTAGTTCCTAAAGTGGCCAACCGAATCGTTTACATAAGGTACGCACGAGTTACGAAACCTTGCTTTTAGATGCATGTTTAGGGACGGATCGAGAACTTAGTATCATGTATAGAGAAGACTGAGCTAAATTGTTTGGTTATACATTGTGATTTCCGTATGTTGTGCACTATTCTATATTGCAAGTATTGTTTATGCTCTGATACCACTTTGTAACACCCCAATAGTTCTCTCTTTAAACCTGTGACGATCTAGTTTTTACACTTGTAATATTGGGGAGCAGTTAACCACATGTTTTTACACATGCATCATTCGTATCTAGGTGGTAGGATCTTGAGTGGAGTGTTGGTTGCTTTTCTCATTTTATTTGCTATTTACTTTTGAAGTTACTTAACCTCGATTTCATTTTTATACTACTTCTATTGGTTTGAGTTTTGAATAGGGGCCTTAATGGTTCCAAGTTATAAGACTTAATTTGGTTTTGTTTGTTAGTTTTGAAACTTATTTATAAATTATTTAGTTTATTCGCTGCTAAATTCTGATATAGCCTTAACGTCTGAACACATGGCGGTAGCACGCCAGTAATTCTCTTGGATATTGTTCAAGGTAGTCACAGTTTAAAGAGAGAATTATTGGGGATGTTACAAGAGATGTGAAAGGCGGGTGTGAGGAAGCTTGGGGATGAAGGAAATGTTCCCCTCCCCTTGTGGTCCTCACCTACTCTATTTCTCTTGGTTTGTCACTTGTAGATTCTTAATTGCATTGCCTTTTTCTTTTAGTTTTAGATTTAAATTAAAATGGAAAAAGGGGATTTTACCAACTCTCCCACATTGATGGGAGAGAGAAATGTTCATGGGATTTTTCTATAATAACAAGCTTTGGGATTTGAGAAATCCCACTTTAGTTGAGCTTGAAAGGATCATCCATAAGGCTGAACACTTTTGCTCACATACTCGAGTAATCTTATTGTGGCCAAGCTCGGCTAAGCTTCGGGTAAAGGCCAGATGGGTCGTGTGTGTGAGTGGACTCTGTTGGAGGTCGTTGCACTTGCGTGACTCAAAGTAGCTTTCGAAGTAAGAGCTCTCTAAGGAGCGAAACACTCTACAAGGGTAAAATAGTCTTTCTCTCTCCTTGTTATTTATGTTGTTAATTATATTAATTGTGAGCAGATCTTGGGGTCGGCGCGGGAAGTCGGACTTTCCGAAACCCAACAGACCATAGGGGAACATTTTATAAGGAGAGAAAGTTCGTACGTACATGTCAAAAAGGGGGCGTTACCTAGTAAAAGAGGAGCGTGATTTAGCTATTTACTTAAAGGTATAATATTCAGTTTAGTAAAAATAAGTCAAGTTTAGTAAAAAACCATTTAATTTAAGGAAAAAATAAAACGGAAAATCAGTAAAAATAATTTCAATTTAGCAAAAGTAAGTTCAGTTTAGTAAAAATAAGTTCAGTTTAGTAAAAAATCATTAACTTTAAGGAAAAAATAAAACAGAAAATTAGTAAAAATAATTTCATTAGCAAAAATAAGTTCAATTAAATAAAAATAATTTCATTTCATTAAAAATCATTGAAAAAAATAAAATAGAATATCTGTAAATATAATTTTAGTTTATCAAAAATAATTTCAAATTAGCAAAAATAATTACAATTTATTAAAGTGGATTGAACTGAGCCTCGAAGAAATTGGGGCAAGCTAGATGCCATGGTGTAACGGTGGCCCAACTAAAGAATAACATTCAAAGAGAAAGAGATAGACGACATAGGAACAGAGGCAGTGGGGAAATAAACACAACAACAATGGAGGACGATGAAGGAGGACCAAGGTTGAGCAAGAGATTTTCAGACAAAGATGGTGGTGAGGTTGATTTCAAGACAAAAGCAGGCACTGCTTGGAGTCATAACTTTCTCAATCAGAAACCTTGGCATCCTCTCTCTTATCCTAATCAACGCCGCAAATGGATCGCCGAACAAACTCATTCTCAGCGCCAACGCCGCGCCGAAGATATCGCCCGCGAGTATTCTCAAGAACAGGAGTACCTCCGCCAGACCTCCATCCTTTCTCAAAAAGAGAAAAAAAAGGTCTATTTTCTATTGTTTCTTGTTTTGATGTGAATTTTTTGTTTATTAATTTATATGTATTATGATAGAGGAAGGACATTATATTGATTTCTTTCATGTTTTGATTTGATTTTGAGGTGAATTGTTTAGTTTTAGTAAGTTTTATGAACTGGGTATTTTGACAAAGGATGATTTTTTTACTATAAATTCACAATATTGGAATTGGTTTTCCATTTTTTTTTTTTTGGTGTTTTTTTATGATTTGATTATGGTTTTGAGTTGAATTTTTTGTTCATTTATCTATAATTGTTATGGTAGAGGAAGGACATTAGGTTGAATTCATAGCTCATGATTTCCTCTAATCTGGGTTTCTTTCAGGTTTTGATTTGATTTTGAGGTGAATTGTTTATTTATACTAAGTTTTTTTAAGTGGGTACTTTGACAAAGGATGCTTTTTTATTTATTTATTTATTTTTTAAACTATAAATGCACAATTTTGGAATTGGGTTTTCCTTGTATCTGGGTGATTTGTGCAACTTTGAACTTTTGGTTATGGGGGTGTTGAGAATTCGAGATTGTTTTTTTTTTTTTTTTTCATACATATATATAGGTGGATATTATGCAAGCTGTTAGCTTTATGTATGTGCGTCCACCCGGTTACAATGCTGAGAGTGCAAAAGCAGCTGAAATTGCTGATGAGAGAAGGAAGATTGGTGAGAGTGACCCAACTACTGCTTCTGCCTCTTCAGTGTATCTATCTTACCCTACTTTGGTTTTATCGTGAGCTGGTTTGATTGTGTATTGCATGACAAAATCCTTTTTCTGAAATTTGATGTATGTTGTAGGCCGCAAGAAGCTGTTGCTGTGAAGGAAGAGAAAAAGAAAGCAAGACCTAAGGATGTTTTTGGCCGGACTTTACCTACTGAAGAAGAATTTGCTGTTCTCAAGAATGCTCCGAGGTAAAATTGTAAGAAACTATCTTGTTCTGTATCTATACTATCATAGTTGTGGTTTTGGTCAACATCTTAATTACTCAATCAAAGCAATTCTGAGGTTTAATCTAATCTTCCAGTTATGATTTTAGAATGTAATTATATAAGAAACCTTCTAATAACATGATCTAGCTGAATTTGAGAAACAGCCTGTAATTTCCACAAGTTTGCTCTCTGTAAATTACTTTCATTGCTTTGCCAATCCTCTCTCCTTTGCTAATGGTCTCTTGAAGCATAATTGTGCATATCAAAGGACCAATCATTGGAGAAAGTGAATGGTGGCTTTGTTTGATTTGCCATTCTTTCTTTTTAAAGACTGCATTGACTGAATTTTCATGACTTGTGATTCTGAATATAAGAAGCTACGACAAAAAGTTGTCATTTTCTATTTTTTTGTACACTTGCTTAGTTTATCCTAGATCTAATTTAGGCATAGCTGGGTAACTCCTCTACTATGTTATTCTTGTGAGGGGTATATTGGCTTGTTCTAAATGGAAGGATTCAATGTTGGTTCACTTGTAGCGAAGCGTTAGGAGTGATTCTTTGATGCCTTTGTTGGATATTGCTTTATATACATGACAATTGCTGGTTGTTTCTACCTTTCATGACCCATTCAAAATTTGACCAACCAGCTATTAAGATACGGTGGTAAACTGTAGTCAACCAAGGGCCAGGGCTTAGGAGAGTTCGCGTTAATTTTTGGTTGCTAGGGTTTGAAGAGGTTAATCTGCCACTTCACACTCACAACTCACCCCCACACTTCTTTGATAGAAGCATTAAATTACATTCTCTGATACACATGTAGGTGTGTGCTAATGTTGATTGTTTCATATATTAATCACATCATATCTCTTTGCAAACATCTTAAAGGAAGATAGTAGAGAAGGTAAACATGTAATTTAATAAAATAATTTAAGCACCAGTAATTTGACCCTTTCATTTTTATCTGTGTTCTAGGTATTTAGTTAATTTGTCCATTTTTTCTGTAACATTTTACATGAAATACATGTAAGAGGACATGCTGCGATTAGATAAAAAAAACAGAGCAAGCACGTCAAGTTTGGTTGGTATAGTTGTTTCACTTGTTTGTGTCTCATGTAGGCTAAGGTATCGTTCATGGAAGAGTTAAGGTTTGCTATGTGTTAAACTGAAATTATCCATTTATGTTTCTTCCTGTACCGATTTTTGCGTAGATCCATATGTAACACGTTGAATCTATGATGGACCATTATTTTTGTGGCTACTTGTTTGAAAAAGCAACACTCAATGGCAGATTATCACGGTGGATAGTCAACCTTGCTCAGTTTGACTTGAAATTTGTACCACAAAAAGCCATCAAAGGTTCTGCGGTTTCTGACTTCTTAGCAGATTTTCCGCTAGAAGAAGGTGAGAAAGAAGAAGATGGTCAAACACTATAAGTATGGTCAACTCTCTTTAATCTTAAGAGTAACACTAATATTGTTTTATAAGATAAGTATGGATGATTATGTTTCATGGGTTTTTGCTAATTGCTATAAGATGTAGAGAAAAGCCCTGTACTCCTTACCCGATTTTCGTTGTATAACATGGTTCAAAAACTCGGCCGTTACGTCGCGAATCGGGCGAGACGTAAAGGATTTCCAAGTTGCCGTTACGATATTTACCGATTCGGCACGCCGCTTTTCAAAACGCCGCGATAACGGCCGTTTTTTAAAGGAACTTGACCGCATCAAGCTTTACCGGCAGAATTCGAAGAAAAAAATCCAGGATTTAAGCATGTTGACCACTGTTCGGCGAGGGTTTATGCTTCTCCATGAAAACCGATCAGTTTCTCAGTATCCACAGTTTGAATAAAAAAGGTTTTTGTAAAAAACGCAATTAATGGGGTAGTTGGGTATGACTTTATGACAGCTGGAAGTTACCACTTTAATTTTTAATTGCTGAATTTTCTACCTGACCTGATGACCCCACCATCTTTTCTATTCCCCTCTTCTCTCTCTCTCTTTTTATTTTATTTTTTATTTTTTATTTTTTATTTTTTTATTTTTATATCTCACGTGACCTCTAGTCCCCATTCCCCACCCCTTATTTCCACCTTTTCAATTAACCTATTTTTTATTTTTATTTTTATTTTTTTAATTAACCCCCCCTTTTTCAATTTTATACTACTTGAAGTCTTAGAGAGCATATAACTATACAAGATACAATTACGAAATAAGCATGAGTAAGATTTTTAAAAATTACGAGAAAAAAAAATCAAAACTTAAATTTTTAAAAAATTCTAGCGCGAAAACCGCGATGTGGTCTGTGATCAACGCATCAATTCCGTTACCGAATCATCGCGACCGTTTCTGCGATCGCGACCAAAACCGCATTTTCGAACCATGTTGTATAATATAAACTTATGTTTTTAACTGATAGCAACAGATTTATACCTGATTTCCTATCGTTTTTCTGATACGTAGATAAAGGTTTTTCACTTATCGAAAGTTTTTTCATCTGTTAATTTTTATTGAATATTTGTATTGCTAAGTTGACGGATAATAGGGAATTAATTACACGACATATGTTAGGACACTTTATTCGGCTAGTCTATAATTAGGGTATCTAGCGTAAAAGATAAACCAAGAGAATGTTGTAGTGCTTACAATTTAATTTTATACCCCAACAGCTGCTTACCATGTTTAACAGCTTAGCTCCTTTTCATTTAGGGTTATGAAGTCTATGATCGTGCTTACAATCCCTTCAAAAGGTTGATTTTATCCTTCCAAAAAGTATTAGGCGGTTGGGGATTTAAAAGGATATGTTAAAATTGACACTTATTGTAAAACCTAACTAGTACCTCTCCGAAGGGGGGGGGGGGAGCACATTTGGAATGGCAAAGGTAGAACCTCTAAGGCTTACCTAAGAGTTGACTTGGAATCAATCTGAATATAAATCTCCCCACTTTAAACTCTAAAGCAATTATAAGAACATTTCTAACTTTAGTTTTTGACTTTCAATCCAGTTATGTGGTAGTAATATTCGTAACTTACTACCTAGCAAAACTAGACACTTTGTCAAATATTACATTTTAAAAAATCGTTAACTACTACCTTTTAAACCAGTTCATGATTACTGTTGCTATCCTATATTTGTTTTCAGTGACTTTGGCCTGAGAATAACATTGCCATTTCGATTTTTTTTTTTCATTTTTAATCAAATTTACAATAATCACATGTAATTAACCCCATTGCTTCTTTTGTCAACCCTCAATCAATTCTATTTCCTCTCTTTGAATGTTCATCTTCATCAAATACCTTTGAACCTTTTGCTCATCTCTTAAAAAACTCAAAATAATTTAAAATTACTTTATAATTCAATTTACATATAAAAACCTCTTAATTGTATATGACAAATATGAACGGAATAAACCCCTTTATTTAGCCCCAATTAGGTTTATTTGGTTGTAAGATTTTGATTTCACATGCTAAATTGTCAAATTAATTATAATATGCTTGAAATCAAATGTCTAATACTAGATTATATGCCTAAATTCTAGCAAAAGTCGCTTGAAAACATACAATTTACACTCAAAAAAACTAAATATAAAATTGAGTTGGTGTATGTTTCATAATGGGTCACAATGCTTTGCTTTGGCAATGAGCAATTTTTGAACTGTCCAATTTTGCGCAGAATATATCTTGGATAATCTGGTTTAATGAGTTGGCTCAGGTTATAATACCACTATGCTCGTATTTATTATTTTATTTTATTTTTAAATTTATTTTCTCCAGTTGTTTTCTGTAAGACAAAAACTAATTGAATTAGTACTTTTGACCCATGTGGGCTCATTGGGCTTTAAACTTGTGCGTTCCTTGTTGAACTTGTATACATGCTCGGTTTGGTATGACTTTCAAAACCCTTGATCGTAGAGTTATCTCATTAATATCTCAATTCATAAATTCATACACTTATAGCATTTTATAGTTTCTGTGATGTCTTGTTTAATACAAAATTTTCATTATCTTCTTTGCATCCGTTGGAGAAAGATTGGCTGCCTAAATTATTGACCTATCCAGCTACTTATACTTAAATTGATAGATTGGCTGCCTTACGCTACTCACCCTTCTTCCATTGTTTACTGTGGTAAGATTGTACGACTGTACTGTTTTCATCTAATACATTGCAAATGGTAGATTTCTTTGTTCATTGACATCCAGGCTCACAACTCACAAGCGTACAGTGAAAATTCGTGACTTATTATGGTTGCTGTTCAATCTTGCATTTTATGCATATTAAGCCTTTGGATCTTGTTAATTATCTCCTAATGCTATTGCTTGTTTTTTGGTGTTTATTTTATGTGATGTGGCTTCTAAATATTTTATTAATTGCAGGTTAGAGACTGGAGTTACTGGTAGGGTTAAACCCTTTGCTGTAGAAGTTCGCAATGTTAAATGTGTAAGATGTACAAATTACGGGCATCAAAGTGGAGACCGTGAATGTCCACTGAAGGATGCTATAATGCCAAATGATGAGAGTAGGCTGAAGAGAGATGACCCCTTGACTGCTATTATGGCGCAGATGGATACAAGTGAGGTGTGTGTGGTTATTACTGTTTTTCATGCTAAATGCCTAAATTATATGGATTGTAATGTGCTTAAGCCAAACTGTGATGCTGGCACATGAGTAAACCTGAATTTTCTAATGGTATAATTTTGAATTGCTCATGGTGTACAGATTCTTTTAACTTAGACGACTAAATGTTTATATTTAGCTATTATGAATCCATATTCCTCTAGTTGCCCCAAATATGCTGGTTGTACTAGCACTTTTCAGTTCGTTACATGTCTAGACTGTGTTTTACTTTAAATATCTTGACTTTGTGGTGTAAATGTGTAATGGTTGGGGGTTACACCATTCAACCTGCAATGTTGGGATCCTCGATCATGCTTGTTTGTGGTAGTTTGTTATGTTGTACTTAACTCATTTTAGCACAAATTTGTAGAATGGTGTTGTTTGTGTTTTTGCTCTTCTCAATGGAAGTGTATGGCTTATATAGGCAAAATATAGCTACTATAGATCTGGTAGATGTTTGGTCTGATCTTCAGGCAGATTATTGTTGTTCAATTATTTTGTATGTAGGGAATTCTCCTGCCACCACGGCCAGAATATTAATAGGGTAACTCATGCATCAAAACTAGAGCTGTCAAAAACTCACCCGACCGACCCGAACCCGATTATTAACCGACCTGTCTGAACTTGAAAAAATGGTGACCCGAACTTGACCTGATACCAACCCTAAATCCGAGTTGACCCAAGTATTTGAGACTCAAACCCGAACATGAACTGACCTGAAGATAACCTGACTCGATTGTAACCCGTATATTATTGACCTGATTCGAAATTGACCCAAATCCGTTTTAACCCATCAAAACCCGAATTTAACCCGACCTGCTACTAACCCGACCTGAATTCAACCCAACCCGTCCCTAACCCGACCCGAATTTAACTCGCCCTGTTACAAACCCGACTTGTTACAAACTCGACCCGAAATCAACCCGACTTGTTATTGACCCGACCCGAATTTTACCGGACCTATTATTAACCCAACCAAAAATTCAACCCGATATGTTACTAACCCGACCCGAAATCAACACGACTTGTTATTGACCCGACCTAAATTCAATCCCAATTGTTCCAGCCCGATTACAAATCACCTTAAATTCAATTTAGACCACCTTATTATTATTGATTAAAGCATTTTGTCTAGGGAGACCAAGTCAGCAAAAGAAAGAAGCATCATCCCCAAATTTAAGAGTTAAATATAGTATATATTTGTTGTATGTTCAAAGGAGATAATTATCTTCCTAAATTTTAGGCTATAGTTCCCTAATATGTTGTCAATACATATTGTTATATAGTCAAAGGACGAAAATTATTAGCTTGATAAAATGATAATTTTCTGTTTATAGTTAGTTAGAGTTTAGCCTATAATGATTGATAAAGGCATGTACGACTTATAGGTACAGGAGAATCTCTGAATCTTAGTATATTTAGGAAGGTTTCACTCTAATGGCGAGATTGGCGACATTATTGATTATTTTCCCAAAAAATCTCTATTGTGATTGATTTTTTTTCCCCTTATTATCTTAAACTTCCTATATGAGATATATGAGGCAATTGAGTACAAGTGTCAATTTTTTTTGTACATGTATTTGACTATTACTTAGGCCTTGTTTGATTCACCTTAAAAAAATAATATTAAGTAAAAATAATTTCAGTTCAGTAAAAATAAGTTCAGTTCAGTAAAATTAATTTCAGTTCAGTAAAAATAAGTTCAGTTCGGTAAAATTCAGTTTTCTTAAAGAAGAATTATAATAGAAAATCAGTAAAAATAATTTCAGTTCAGCAAAATTATTTAAGTTCATTAAAAATAATTTCAGTTTAGCAAAATTAAGGTGAATCAAACAAGGCCTTAGTTCGCTAAGCAAATCAGCCAAATGTAAATTTTTTTCCTAAATTTATCTTCAACTTCTATATAACTATTTAAGCTCCCTTTATTTGTCTATTTTTCAAATTTTATTCACTTGCCTATTTAATCTTTTTTAAACGTTTTGAATCATGTAATTTTTTTTTTTTTGAAAAATGTTCCAAAAATAAAATAAAAATATAAATGCCATTAAAAAAAAACGTTAACTCGGATATGAACTTATAAAAAAAATAAAATAAAAACTTCAGATAATTTCGTACTTCCTCCGTTTCTATTTAGTTGACGCGTTTGATTTAGGCACATATATTAAGGAGAGGAGAGAGAGTGAGAGAGAATGAAAAAGCAAGTGGGGTACCTTGTAAATGCAAGGTAAAAAAGTTACCCCAAAAAGAAACGTGTCAACTAAAAAAAACTTCCTAAAAAGGAATATGTGTCAACTAAAAAGAAACGGAGGTAGTATAAAATAAGTTTAGAAAAAAAAGTTTAGATAATTTCAAATAAAGTAACTTATTTGAATTTATATGAGCTTATTGTGTTTTATTCAAACTTATTTGAACATGAACTTATCTGAAATTGTTGTCCTTAAAATGAGTTGAAACAATGTGAATATATCATAATATGTTTTGAACTTATCTTCTAAAAATCTAAACTAAACCTATCTTACTTGAAATAATATGAACTTATAATGCATATACTTCCTCCGTTTTTATTTAGTTGACGCGTTTGATTTAGACACATATATTAAGGAGAGGAGAGAGAGAGATAGAATGATAAAGCAAGTGGGGTAGCTTGTAAATGCAAGGTAAAAAAGTTACCCTAAAAGGAAACGTGTGAACTAAAAAAAAAACTTCCTACAAAGGAATACATGTCAACTAAAAAGAAACGGAGGTAGTATATCTTATCTAAACTTACTTGAACTTAATAACTCGAATTTAAACTTTTCTAAAATTATTTCTTCTACAATAAATGAAGAAATTGATAATGATTAAACGTGAGCGTCATTACATGAACGGTTAACAAACCAACCTAAAAAATGTAACGGAACGTGATGTGACCCGACGTTATATCTACCTTAAACTCAGATTAACCCAATATTTGATACCCGAACCCGAACTTGAACCCGAACCGGAACATGACCTGACTTGGAAATGACCCGACTTGATTATTATAACCCGCAAATTATTGACTTGCCGACTTAAACCCGAGAATGACAAGACTTGGAAAGGACCGCTTGATTATACCCCGAAAATTATTGACTTGAACCGAACCCGACTTGGAAATGACCCGACCTGATTATAACTTTCAAATTATTGACTTGAACCGAACCTGACATGAACTCGAGAATGACCCGACCTGATTATAACTCGCAAATAATTGACTTAAACCAAACCCGACTTGAACTCTTGAATGACCCGACAACCCGCAAATTATTGACTTGAACCGAATCCGACTCGACCCGAGAATGACCATAACTCATTTTAACCCGTGAAAACCCGAGTTTAACCCGACCTATTATTCACCCGACCTTTTATTGACCCAACCTAAACCCGTGACCCGTCTCAAGCATGACCAAACCCGCATAGGTTACGACATCAACCCGTATTAACCCGACCTAAGTTGACCTCCACCCAAACCCGACCCAATTGATAGCTCTAAATTCAAAACTAATATACAACTAATTAAATCAAAATCTAAATTTGAAACTCAGGTCACTAACCTTTTGTGGCAACTCACTTTTTCCTAAGAGTCGGGTATAGTTCTATAGGAAATCTTGGTTAGTGAAATTTGTAGCAGATTAGAAGATTGACTATTCTAAACTACGCATCTTTATAGACGTAAAGTGATTGGTTACTACAAACATTATAGATGTTTTTTTATTACTTCCTCCGTTTCTATTTAGTCTTTAGGCACATATATTAAGGAGTTGAGAGAGAGTGATAGAGAATGGAAAAGCAAGTGGGGTAGCTTGTAAATGCAAGGTAAAAAATTTACCCCAAAAGGAAACGTGTCAACTATAAAAAAACTTCCTAAAAAGGAATACGTGTGAACTGAAAAGAAATAGAGATAGTATTATTTTTAGGGCCACCATGTCTTTCTTTCTCCAGTTGAAATCGAGTATGATGGATTAATATTTTTAATACCTTCCTCCATTTGTGCCCATAAAATGATAAAAATGATATATTCTTACTATTTATTTTGTGGCTCCTCGATGGTGGTGCCATCTTTGTACATTACCAAATATCTCTCGTGTGCTTAGACGGTTGATGGTTCATCTTCATGGTTTGTAGTTCTAATGATTCTATACTCTCTAATGTATGACTAATTTTGCAATTTGGAATCTCTAATGATGGTAGGCATGGTAGGTGTGGAAAGAACAAAAGGTAAGTGAATCATAAGACACAATGGCCTTTATGAAGATTATTGGAGTTTAGTACTTTAGTTGGCACTTGTTAGTTTTAGAGGTTGTTGCCTTTCTTTGGGAATTCTTTTTTTGAAACTTTTAGTTTAAAGTTGCCATTGTGAAACTTCATAGTGACATGCCCAGTTAGACGGTATTTCTTCTATAGTCTAACTTAAATTAATGGTTATTTTTCTTTATTTCAGTTTTGCAGATTATTAAGATGTTAGAGCTTCATTGGATGAACTATGTTCTCTTAAGGGTTCATCACTTTATTATGCTATCTTTTAATAAGTTGTTAAACCTGCTGAATATAGTCTAAAATCCTAAACTTCGATATGTTCTTTTAAAGTTTTATTCTTACATTTGGCACCTAAAAAAGTGGTTTAATTATGTGGAGATATGTCATGCTTCCCTAAAAGAATTTGGTTATGCTTTATAATTAGATAATTTTATATACCTCAATACCTTAACTAAATGTATGATATGTCTGCTATTTGTTTTTTAAGACTGGATCATCAAACCCATGGATTGAATATGGATTTATGACATAAATCTAAATTTTGTGGCATTTGCCTTTCAAACTATTATTAGGATTGGCTCATACAAGCTGATGTTGTGGAATAAAGACTTTTTGGAAGCTTAAGAAATATTGAGGAAGAAGAGCATGAGGAACAAAGTTAGGTGTGCCACATCTACTCTAATAGT